ATTATCGTTGTGTTAACCTTGTCGGGATCCGCGAATTACAGCTGCGCGACGCCGAGAGTCGAAAGTCTCTCGATGAACGGCATAATCATCGAGTCGTTTTCCACTGTATAAGAGCTAATGTAGTCAAGTTCTCGAATGTTTGTCCATCTTGTAAAGTCATGCAGGTATGTTCCTTTCGATATCTTCTCTCGTTCAAAAAAATTGCGCTCCCGTTTCCTTATAATTATCAGCTTCGCTGGTTAAAGGACGAACGTCGAAGAAAAACGTAGTTTCGTTTCAGAGGTATTCGTTAACTTTTCAAGCACGCGTAGCGCGCTGTGAACAGGAAGGCGCACGTTTCCCTTAATATCTTCGAGTTAGCGGATGTTCCTCTCCGGAAAATTAGCTCCGGAAGCCCGAGAGAGAGAGAAAGCCACTGTTATTTCCTGCCGTCTCGCTTCGCGTAGCAAAATCGGATTCGTTTCTTTGCGCGAGAACAGATTTGAATCGGCGGGACTTTTCGCGCCGATCGTTTCGGACCTCGCGCGGCTTTCGCCGTCGTATGGGACACGCGTGCGAGACTCGCGGGCACGCTGCTACACCTGTGCACGGCACGGCGGCAGTCGATGAACTGAAGAGCCGCGGCCGCGAGGCTTCCGATTCCAAGGTACCGCCGTTCCCTGCCGGCTGTATTCTGTTATAGCCGATGCCCCTTCGGAAGACGGATATCTGGGTCGGGGCCCCACCACGTTCTCCGCCGCGGTATGCGTGGCGCATACGCTAGGCATGGAAAATCATGCTGCGCCGCTCTTACCGGAGAGGCGCTCTTTATACCGCTTCGATCTTGTCCGATCGGAACGAGTACTTATGTTCCCGATTGTCGAGCGAGATACGCACGTTTTGAGGGGAGCGCTTGCCATCGCCGGGACCTGCCCCCCCCCCCCTTGTTTGAACGACAGGACCTCCCGAGGTCGCGGGTAAATGTCGAGTGGCAAGAAAGAAAGTGTTTATCTTAAATGCGGCGGCCTTTTTGCTTGCCATCGGCTAAATTAATGAAGAATACTGATAAAGTGAAAACACTTGCAGATACACGGATCGTCCCAGTTTCGCACCTGTTATTATCCACCTTTCTCGGCGGGGGGAGGGGGGGAGTCTTCTTAATATTAAATTTAAATTTCAGTGTCTCTAGAGTTTAATATTCTCATGAGAAGTCCCTTATTATATCGATAATTTAAAAACCACTGGTGTGTCGCTCGAGATATTTCTCCCGAAGAATAAATTCGTTGGTAAAAGATCGCTCTACGGATGAGAGGAAATCTTTTATACGGTTTCTATAGCTGCACGATTCCACGCGGCGACAATGCGCGCCGCGAGCACGGCAATGAAATAGAAATCGGAACCGGAAGAGGGAGGAAAGGAGTCGGAAGCGATAGCTCGTTACACCGGATTATTGTGATTTGCGGCTCAATGGGGGATCCCGTCCGCAAAATCTTCAATCCCACGCCTACGGCTTCAGTTTTTCCCGTGTCCTCGTCTATTAAAAAGCAAAACCCGGGGAGTGTTTTCGATGTCCCGCGGAAACCGCTTTCGAAGTTCACACGGCTGTGCACACGGTCGATGCACCTGCGCCGCTAACGGAAACGACCGATTATCCGCGGGGCCCTTAAAATCCGGTCATCCATAGTCCTTAAGTAACTTTGCGTGTACTCGGTCTTTTCAATCCTTCAAGTATTTCAATTGCAATTGTTTTATATAACTATAAATAACTCATAAATATATTTATTTTGTCTAAATTTTGCTGCAATTCATAAATTTGTATCATAAAATCTGTAGCTTTTTTTAAATCTCGTCCAGATAATACTTTCTTTTCGAAACACTTTCCGTTTGAAAATGCTTGCGTTTTTTTTTTTATTTCAAGAAATTGTTGAAGAAAGTTCCAAGTTTTCGAAGACTGGCGTTTGATCGAGTGTCGAGTGTCGAGAAACTCGAACCGATATCAGTCCCCGGAGAAATGGCACTTTCTCACTCCGCGTTCTTTCCATTTCTTTCAGAGCGACATTTTTTTCGCACGCGGAAGAAACGAAATATTTTCCGCGATCCGGATTGCGTCGCGAGATACGTTTCTTCTTTTTTTTTTCCCTCGTCCGGAATTAGAGAGACCCGCGGACCGGTCGAGCGACAGCGAACGCGGGGGAAAACACTTTCCTGCTTTTACGTTTTCTATTTACTTGCTCTTTCGTTCCGCAATTCTAGCCGCCACGAGATGTCACGTGGGGGACACGCGGAATGCGCGCGAGGCAGTGAAATTGAAATTGTTGTCCTCCACTTTGCGCGCTTGCAACACGATGCCTATTACTTTAATGAAAGGTGTTTGTTGGCTCCGGGATATTTGATTGGACGGTCGGCTCGGCAAAGACAGCGCGATTATATCGAACCTTTATCCGCCAAGCATCCTCCACTATGCATGAGTAATTTTATCTTCCGCAAATTTCTTTCACATATAAGAATTTTATAGTATTTTTCTGATTAAGAAAAGTCACAAAAGTTTTAAAATTTAAATAACAGAACAAATATTTAACTAAAAACATCTCTCCAGAATTATTATTGCTATAATATAAACATATATGATAAATTACTTTATCTCGAAAAATTATCCTAACTCAGAAAATAAGTCGTCCGAGGATAATGTATAATAAGCCAACTCACTTTATGCGACAAGTCTCAATTATACAACTACATGTCAATTATATGTTTGATGCGGAATAGAAACGTTTATCCCGCAGAGCAGCGTGCATAACATCGTTGAAAAATGTGTTACGAAACGCGCTTTTCATAACTGCAGTAGCGACTTTCTTAATAGGCTTCAAAAAGGAGAACATGCAAATAAAAATTCAATTTTGAATGCTTCAACATTTCTGTGCCTTTGCTCAAGAATCGAAATTGCAGGGGAATGAAGGGCGCGAAGGAGATTTGGGCTAACGTGGCAGAAAGAAATAATGAGCACCGTTTCGCATTAGCAATTCAAACAACTTCCGGTGTCCGTGTTGGCGTGAGGAGAGCAAGCTGCCGCCTCCGGTAAATACGAGTTGCTTGAACTGAGAATCGCCTGAAAGAAACCCAAGTATCCGCGCTCTCCTTCTTCTTTTTTTTCTATCGAAACTCTCGTCTCGTGAAGAAAGATGCAGAAAATTGGAGTAGCTGCGTTATTCGACGATTAAGAAATTATCAGGCGGTTTAACTACTTTGCGAGATAAAAATACACTATTTTTGTCGCACACTTAATTCCGATATATAAGATTTTAATGTTCGAGTACTTTTGATTTCACGCGAAACTTATACTGTTTCCAATTAAAATTAGTAATAATAAAAGAGAAATGTCAAAGATACAATGAAATTATCATTCCTTTGTAATGCAAAAAACTCTCCTCAAGAAACGCATTGGACAATGGGAGTCGCTATGCGACTAATTAAACCGGCTTTCTACGACTGCCGCGGCTGGTCTCCACGCCACACGCGATATACGTTTTCATGAATGCCGAATCGCGAATTTTTACGCACGGCTCGCGGCATTCCTCCGTTCCGATCCTTTGACATCATTCCACATCTTTAGACGCCGCGAGGAAACACATCAGACTCGTCCGTCCTCCAACGTTGCGCGAAACGTTGCTGCACGCACAGCGCACTCGCGATTACGCGCGCAGCTCTTCTTTTTACCGTTATATAATCCGTAATGGAATTTTAAATTGCATGCATGCCTCAGTAAAGGTTTCGTTTATTCGACAATTATCCCGACTGACGGAAAACTTCAATCGAGGTATAATTGGGGGAAAATTACTTGATTGTCAACGACGTGAAAGTAAGATAACATTGAAAGAGTTGAGGGAATTGCGACACGAATAACGTGCCTTCTAGGCTGTCATTTATGGATGGTATTCGCATTCCTGGTTTTTAATACCAGAAAGATAATTATACGACACGTGTGACATTGTAACAAATCATCAACGAATGTCAGAGATTAATTGAAAATCCGATTCGACGGTTATTTGCCTTGTGCTCTCCAGCTTTCTCTTTCCCCGAAAGAATAACGATCTCGCCCGTGTGATTTAAGAGCGAAATCTTGAATGCACATTATAATGTATCGGAATATATGTATATATCGAAAAATTTCAACAAGAATCTGCAGCAAGAGCTCCTCTCTGCATTCAGTCATCGGTATTCGGGAGAACGTCCGTCACGCTGAACGAATCGGCTTCTTGAATCGCGTGCGGCGACGATGCATGCAGGTGTATCTGATGAACAGGCGTAGCGCGTGTTATAAGAAATCCGATCTCTCCGTTTGCACAAGACGTATAAAGACGAGAGTCTCTATCTCTCCTATTTCTCTCGCGCTCTCTCATCCGAGCGCAAAAAAGCATTCTGCGTTCTGCGGTCTTAATGATTCACTATAAGGATAGACTCGATCTCGAGCGGCGTTTAAGACAGAGATGGAACCTTTACCTTTAAGAGCGGTTGCCTGCGTCATCTTTGACAGCATCGGAATGCAAAGATCAAAACATCCGAAAGATTGAAATCTCCTCTTTTTTTTTGGGCAATGATTACGACGGAAAGAATACCGGTTCGCAGGGAATCCCCGACGGCATTCTCGCGGAATGTCGACATCGCGCAGTTTGGGTCGAAAAATGAAGAAGCGTAAAAGAATAGAGGTAGTATCGAGCGCGGGGTCCGTCGGCGTGATGGATCGCTGGTGCCGACGTTCTCCGATGGCGAAAAGGGGGAGAGATAAAGCGGGGAAGAATGAAGAGAGACGGCGGAGGAGGCATTGGCCAGCACATATGACCGCTCACTGGAAACGCAATTTACACTAGGCGTTGCCCGCGGATTGCCTCGTTACTACCAGGCTTGCGTTGCACATCTCGTGTGTGCCGTTATCATCGTTTACGCGGTCGACCATCGCTAATTGGTCGTGGACGAGCGCGCGATGGCTCTGACCGTCCGCGGAGGAGATACAGAGGACCACTCACCAGCCTGATGTATCTGCCGATCATCTCCGACAGCTGTGGGGCGCGATTCGTGTGCAGCGGCAGTCTGACACCCGACGCGATCTGCAGTACGCACACTCCCGACCTGGACGAATTCACGGAGACAATGTCCTCCAGCGGCAGGGTCTCCAGGATGATCAGGTCGCCATTTAGCGTGCGCTTGATCAAACGAAGTCCGTGATGCGACACCGCCACGTGTTGTGTCTCCGGGTGTTGAGGACCGATCTGCGGCAGGATTCAAATTAAGATTACTGAGAATGATGACAATAATTTTTAGATTGTTTTTCGGTCAGCGTTTATCGACCGACAGAGAAAGAATGCTTTTGAATTATTAAGCACGAGCATGAACTTACCGATACGGGAAATATTCGGGCGAAGTATAACGGCCACTGTTTCGCCATATCCACGATATTTTTCTTGATCGTGATCTTATGTTGCGTGCTCTGGAGATTGTCCAGAGTGACGCCATAGTTGTCCAGCATTTTTAGCATGTTCTGCCGGTCCTCCTTGGTGATTCTTATGCTGGAGGTCGCAAGGACATCGTACGCAACCTGGCAGAACACTAGGTGCAATGCCAGGGGGCTATTCAGCGTCTCGTTAGGCGCGAAAACCTCTTTCTTGACTCTCAAGGTCCACGTGACTCTGTTATATGTGAAATGCGCGTTGGAGGTTTGCGGGTAGAGCTTGGTATTCACCACTTCCTGGACCTTCTCGATTTCCGGCTTGTCCGCCGGTGGTAATACCGGCTTGAGAAACTCCGGCCACTCCTCGATCTCGATCCTCTCCATCTTGTCGGTGCGGTGAGTTGAAGCCACGCTCGACCGTCTGTCCACGTCCCGATTGTTGAAACTCTGCCGCGCGACGGTGAAGGACTCCCTCGTATTCGGGATCACGCCGAAGTCGCGCGGCGACGGCATTCCGAAGCTGTCGCGGGATTTAGGAGACACGTCCCGGGTCATTCCGAAGGGATCGCGCTTCCCGGTCGATCCGTCGAATGCGTACTTGGAGTCAAAAAGCTCGGAGTTGAGGTCGCGGCGCGAATCGAAGTCGGAACTGCGATCGCGCACCGAACTCGCGAGATCGGTGCTGTCCTTGCCGTAGAAGTCCTTGGACTTGTCCTGAGCGCGAGCCTTGTCGAAGTCGTTTCGGTAGTCGTGACCGTCGCGCAAATGTTGCTGCGACGCGAATATGTCGCGGCTTTGACTGAACATCTGATTCTTCGGGAAGTGATCGTAGGTCTCGGAGTCCGGAGACGTGCGGAAGGAGTCGCGTGTTTTCGGCTCGATCGGCGCTGGCGGAGATCGCGGCTGAGGCACACCGGATTGGCTGGAACAAATCATTTGCCGATTTTGTTGTTTAACGAAATGCATTTGTCATATGTGATAAAACAAAATCTTCTCATATCTCTTGAATTTTTTATTTTTTCAAGGATTAAAGTGTTTGCTATTTTTAATTTAGAATAATTCCCAATAATGTTTAATTTGATGCTGTTACCTGTTACTGTACACACTGCCGCCTCTTGGACTCGGTGGCTGCGGCGGCGTGACAGGCGGCGGGGGCGGAACAGGCCGTTCCATTCTCTCGATCTGCGTCCTCACAACCTGAGCTTGCGTCATCATATCGGTAGTGCCCTTAGAAGTAACGCTCTGGGTGTCATCGACAGTGGAAGCATAATCATCCCACCTGCCACCTTAAAATTCGAATTTTTCGATTAGATATATGTCTATACCTAGTTATGGCATTTGTGGCTTCATAATGCACGACAAACGATCTAATTACCCAGTTGTTGTTCCAACAAGAGCTTCCTGTTATCTTCCAACCGTTTAACCTTTCCGTCCTCTCGCGGGAGAGCGGGTTTCTCAGCCGTCTTCGTGGATCTCACGCTATGATTCGCCGTTACTTTCTCCAATCTTTGCCTCATCTCCGAGCTGAGTTTCAACTTCCCTATACTTCCCGGCGACGGTCTCTGCGCGCCCACTTCCAAAGCCGACCTGCGAAAGAATCCGACAGTTTTCATCATCGCTCTTTTCAGCTCGATATAAAGAAAGAAGCGCGATGTTAATTACTTCGATTTCTTCTTCTTCTTCTCCCCTTCTTCTTTGTACCCGTTCTCGTGTTTTGCCGCGGTCGCTGATGGATGCGCGATCATGGACCGATCTTCGTTGCTGACGATGTTCTCAATCTCGAATTCTTCCCACTCGACACCGCCTTCCGTCGCAGCTTCACCATTGCCTTGGTCGTACTCCTGATACTGCGGCGTTATCTTGCGTTGCTGTTGTTGCTGACGCATTTTGAATTCTATGAAGCTATCCTGTCCTTGATTCTCGTTCGAATCGCTAGGCGGTGGCCACCTATCGAGATAAAAAGAATTAGTCGCCTGGATTAGCGATTTATTGTCAATTTGTTGGATCTTGAACTCACCTCCATTTCCCGATACGCACTGTCTTCGCCCTGCCGTACGGATCGAGGAACGGTCTAGATTCGGAAGGATCGTGAGATTCCAAAGGTGGAGGCATCGGCGGGGGCGGTGGAACACCCTTGTTATTGCTCAAACTTGAAGGATTGCTGTCAACGCTGCTCTTCCGGTTCTTCAGCTCGCTGAGTACGTTAGTAAAGTTGCTCTGTATGTTACTTTTGTTTAAATTGGCTCTCTTCACGTCCGCCTGTGCCGATGACGGCTTTCTATCTACCACTTTTCGATCCACGCTGATCTTCCGCGCGTAATCGACGCTCGTCTTCCTGGCGGTCTCGGCATTCTTTCTGGGCGGACTCTGCGACCGATGAATTTGAGCCTTTACCGTCATCGTTTCCTGCCGATTCGTTGGAGTGGAAGTCAGCAAGGGGGTTCCCCGTTTCTCGGTTGACCATAATTCGCCGTCGTCGGGTTCTCTAAATGAGACCTAATCCAAGAAAGATTAGATTAGAGAGTCCTCGATTAATTTGGAAAATTATTTACAGCAAGGTGATTTGCAGGAGGATTGACTTAAGATAAAAAATTTATTCGGAAAAAAGCCGCGGCGATTTGACGAATGAGACATTGTTTGATCAGGTTGGCCATAATCCCAAATATCTTCCTCGATTTCTGCTAAATGATAATATGTACACGATATTTCCGTAGACGTAGGAAAGCCACAAGGTACAGCGTAAGTTAGTTAAAATCAGTAGATACCTTGGAGCAGCGTCCGATAGAATCATTGGGCCCCATATGGGCACCGATTGAGGGGGCTGGGGGAACAAGATTCATGCTTGAGGAGCCAGCGGGTAACACCGTGCTCTGGAAACACACACCCCATACCGCAGTGCGGCTCAGAGACCCATAGGATATCGCCCGGAACGCCGATAGATTCGTTGAGAGTTAGTTTTCACTAAGCGTGCATATCGCCGATTTCAGTTACCGATGACGGATCATCGAGTTAATGATAGTTAAGTGACCGTGAAATATGAGAGCCGCGATGAACCTCTTGCAACCGTGCTCGACATGCAACGTCTGCCTCTGATCGATTTACCGTGATTCAATGTTCGGGAATTCAATATTATCTGTTCAAATAATGTAAATCAAAAGTATATTTAAAGAATTAAGCATATCTAAAATCTTAATCTAGAAGATGAAAAACTCTTCTGGATAGATTGTGTTCAACAATTGTAGTTTTAATTTGAATCACGATAAAAGATCAATCCATTAATCATCCTGTTAAATCACTTGAACCTCGGATATTAGACTTTGTACAGATTTCTTGCCTGATATCTTTCTTTATTAATTTCTTACCGGTTGCTGTGTCGAGTTTTGCGGGCTTTGGACCAACAACTGCTGCAGAGCCTGATTCTGTGCTAGCAGCTGCTGCTGTATTTGAATATTCTGCGCCATTGCACTCTGCAGGAAGGCTCGCTGAAGATTCTGTTGGTACGCCGCCATGTCGTTGCTCTGTCCGGGCGGTGAATTGGGGTACTGTGGTAAGCTAAGCCCTTGCATGCTGTAGATCGGAATGGGCATGAAACTCGCGCCCATGCTCATGTTGGTATTCTGCGTGGAGGGGACCTGCTGTGTAGGGCTAAACATGGGCATCATCATTGGCGGTGACATCATGCTCTGCGCGATCGGACTGAAGTTGAAGGCCGCGTTCTGATTAGGAATGTCCATATTGCCGCCACCTTTGATCTTTTTCGACAGTTCGCTCGCGCTGATATTTACATTTTCGTTTCTCGCTATCATCTCCTCAACGAAGTCATCGACCGTGACTATTTTGGTAGCTCGATTGTCGATTCTCTGTAAATTCTCGAGAACTGTTTGGTTGCCGGGTGGCCTAGTGTCATGTGAACCTTTTATCGAAGCGGCCAAACTGCGGGCATCCGACAGTTCGTCAAGATTGCCGTCCAACACGGGCATAAAGAGCTCGTCCAGAAACTGATCCACGTCAGAAGCTTGACTGGGCACTCTCACGCGTCGCACGTGCGACGCCAAGGAAGGCGCTTCGCTGGTGTCCGACATGGCGGACGATTTTACTCCGTATTCACTCTTCTCGATGTAAGCGCGACTAGACTGGCTTCCCGGCAGCGCGCGTTTGCCTGTAAACGCGAGAGGAATAATCAATACGCGGTCGATACGGAAAAATTAGGTTGCATAATTGCCAACTTTCTCCACGATAGAAATTCTCTAAGTAAAATACGTCTTACGTAATTAACAGCGAATTATCGTTGACGTCATGACGTAATGCGTATATGCTATAAAATTTTTTTAAATCCCTTAAAACATGATAAAAAAATAAGATAATGAAAAGAATGAGATTTCTTCCCGATGACTTACCAGGATATTGCGACTTGATGAACCTGGTCTGCGACCTTATGTAGCTCTTATCATCCTCCGATCTTCCGGTTTGACTAACGGACTGAATATCCGGGTATTCAAAGTCAATCGTGAGATCCTCCTCCTCGATGTTGGGCTCCGTTGTCCTTGTAACCCTGCTGTACTTCCTCTCTTGCGTGATATCAGTACGCGTCATGTATTCAACGTTACTGACCGCCGGAGTTTCGCCTATTCTTTCCAAACTGTGATACCGTTCATTCAACTTGGACGAAGAGAGCCCGAGATTGGCGAGTTTTACCGGTGAAGATATGATTTCCGATTGAAGTAAATTGTCCAAACTTCGGCTACGCTGTTTCTCCTTTTCGAAATAGCGGTCGTTCAAAGCGGATTTCCTCGACAACCCCATTTCCATCGTGGTGTCCAAAATGACCTCGTGCGATTGCTTTCGTATCTGTATGTAATATGTATCATATTTCTAGACTTATTTGGTAAAAAAATTATTTATTAAATTATTAACCCTAGACAGACTCACTTATTTTTCTGCTACGTGAATGACTCACTGGGGTAATACGTTACCCCAAACTTGTACCGCGTGTATAATATTTCCAGAATGTTCTTAGAAAACTTTATAATAGATAATTTTGTTTGTTGTTTAATAGGGAAGACGATAGTAGTCATCAATTTGCGGTAAAAAAAAAAAAAACAGTAAACAAATTTCGAAAAACAAAACAAAGAACCAAAAATTTGGCTAAAATTATGCGAATTTGAATTTCGCATGGGGTAACGTATTACCCCAGTGAGTCTGTCTAGGGTTAAATATAGGATTGAGAGAAAGACAAACAAATATAAAAACAACGCTCATACGCAAACGTATTGACTAATATATGTAGAATAAGTGACTTTTAATATTTCTTAACAGAAATATAACAAAAACATATTTTTGAATAAATTTCTTAGTTTACGTAATTATCTTAGAATAATTGGATGTTATAATTTGATTTAATATATCTTGAAAAAAAAACTATGTATTTAAGTATTAGTTAAATTCTTCATTTGCTTGCAAAAAATCACAAGATTAATTGAACTAATACATACGGGTGGTTTTACAACGGGTGGCTGCGGTGGAGGAACTGCCGGTCGCCTGGGTACCTGAATTTCTAACTCAACAGGCTTATCAACTGGTTTTGGCACTGATTTTCTTTCCAGAGGCTGGAAGGTTTTTAAGATAGGAATTTCCATTTCTTGTTCCAACTCCCGAATAACTTGGACGTGCTGGAAAAAGATATTCTATTATTTACAATACAAAAACAACAATTTAACAGCCATTACTTCCATTCTATTGCATTCTCAAGTTCATTATCCCTTAAGAATCCTCTCTATTAAGGTCAACGCTAAAATTTTCTTACTTCTCGTTTCTTTATGGATGGCAGACTGTTCTTGCGCTGTTCCAAGAACATGTGCTTGGCGGCGGGGAAAGCTGGCGCCAATTCCATCTCCGAGATCAAGTCCAGGACGTAGTCGAAACCGTTAGTCTCCGTCACGATGGCGTCCGGGCCGTCCAGTTGATTCCAGAGCGTGATGGTCCAGCCGGTGTTCTCCACTCCGTGGTTTCGAACCGCGAGATTGGCCAACTCTTCACATGTGGTCCAGGAATCCATCGCGCATGTAGTTGTCTCACCTATAAGAAAAATTATCGATTACAATGGAGTTTTCATGGTAGCACGCTTTATTTTTGCGAATTCGAGATTTACCGTCGTAGAAACCAACGTTGAGCGCCATATTTACGCGATTTCTGTTAGCCCGCCATTCTAGGACGCACGGCGGATAATTCCTAGGCACTTGGTGCACCGTCTGCTGATTATTATTCATCATACGGTATACCGTTCTCTCGCCTTGCAGCAATTTGCGTTGACAGTAAGCCTTGTAACCGTCGTAGGCGTGATCGGAGACGTATCTGATTAAAGAATATTAATTAGAGATAATTGTAATGATGTATCGCGCGTCCGGTGTGCAACAAAAAGACACTTACTTCAGAAAATACTTGAAGAGCGTGGCACTGGGCTGGAACGCCGACAAGCAATTGGACAGCAGCAGCCATCCTCTCTCTTTGTTGGCGTCGTTCTCGTTCTTCCAGGTTTGATTCGCCAACTGGCACAGTATCTCGTCCCTCAGCTTCTCGTTCACGATGCCTTTGTTAACGATGTAGTCGCCCAACGCTTGTTCACGTTTGCCGTTGAGATTACTCTCATTCATAAAGCGCAATATCATTTTGAAGATCATCAGAGAGTCCGTGTAATCCTGATCGCGAGCCTTCGCTAGGAACGGCGTCTTAATCGGCTCGCGCTTCATCCCGAATATGTGACTCTTGAAATAAATGTTGGTGAACTTCGAGAACTGATACTGATCGATGTCGGGCGGCAGATTGTAGGTGTAGTTCATTGGGATGACTTGGCCGACGACCTTGAGGAGATTTCGTTCGGTGTGCGTGGGTTGCCAATCTGGAAATTACAAAAATATATATAATAATCCAAAGAATGATTTGTGAAAAATATGAAACACGTCTAAAGACTTGGATGAGAGTTTTATGATATTGTTTTAATATTTATTTTGGTAAAAACGTACCATCGAGTTTGCTGTAAATAAAGGCTAGTTCTGCGGGAATTTCCAAATGATTTACACCGGCAACAGCTCGCGAGGTCCTTTCCTGTTCCTCCCGTTGCTGCTTCGCTTTCGCTCGCTCCTTACTGGCTCTCTCGATTTCCGCTCTCTTCACCATCTCGTCCTTCAATATCTTAAATGTCTCTCGTTGCTTCCTACCTCTGTACAGTTTCTGCGCCATCAGAACGCCCTTCTTCATCGCACGGAACTGCTTACGTTCACGGTAACCGCGATACACCGCTTGTATCAGAACTGTGCTCCGAGAAATATTGAGGAATCTTCTGCGTGCCAAGAAGCCTCTTGTGTATCTGCAACAGAAACCGTTAGAGCAACGTCCGGGAAAGGTTCACACGTTTATTCACATTAATCTCACTATTTGTAAGAGGCAGCTGTAGTGAAATAACTTGAAAGAATTTATTTCTGTGAGACATTTAATCGTCACAGAGAATCATGTATATATTATATAATTAATAAATATATGTTATATATAAATAATATAATTACGAAATTATATAAATATTCTTCTGCATCTTTCTTGCATAATTTGACACATACCTCTGGACTGTGATGGCCGCTCTCTCCAGAATCAACGCTCTGTTATATTCCAGGGCTCTCTCCAATGATTCGCGTAAAAATACTCGTGTAAGTCCGAGCTGATACTGCGACTGCGCCTCTTTCGGAGCCGCTTTGTCCAAAATTAATCTGCAGAGTTCCTTGTTGGGCGCTCCCCTAGGCAAATGCGTTGAGACAAGATATCGATACCGATCTACAAAGTGTCCGAACAGAAGGCGAACTGGGTAGCCAGTTTTTCTGATGCGGATCGTCTCCAGCATGCCCGTGTATCTTAATTGTTCAAGCACACAAGGCATGTCAAATTTCATCGGTGCCTTCTCGGTGTTCGGCTTGATGCAACGAACAAACCATGGATTACATCTGCAAGCAAAAACTTTAACTATAACTGTAGCCAAATCATGACAGTAATAACTGTTACAAAACTCTAAGAGATTAATAAAAATGTTAATTAAGATGTTTTATTTAAACCTATTAAAGATTTTTAAAATTATTTACTTTAAATTATTAAATTATTTTGTCGAATTAATTTACATTTGCAATTTTTGTAATATTGCACGACAAATTTATCGTTTAAACCTGGAATGCTTACTGAGACATAGATTCTAAGAGTTGCTGAAGACTATCGTGAAATCGAGCCGAAACAGTCGGGGTTCTCGGCTTCATGGTGACAAATCTGCCATTCGGTTTGTTCATAGTTTTATTAGCTTCGTGAGTGTTTCTGACATGCTGGAACATCTTGCTAACCATCTGTAATCGTCATGACCGTGTTACCGCATTACTGTAAGACTCCTCCAGCCTAACAGCATAAACTATAAATACGAACTCACCGAAATCTTGCTACTGATCAGCAACTCGACTACATCCGGTCTCAAGGTATCTCTGTTCTTGTCTAAAAAACCCTCCACATTGTACCAGACCTGTCCGGCGTAATGCCTGATCGCGAACTCGGCGGAGTTCATTCTTGGCCTGGAATACAGTTCGCTCAGCGCGTGATTGTAATGGCATTTTTCCAGGAAAGAAAGATCCGTCGCTTTAGGGAAGTTACTCTCATCGTCTAGCAGGTGAAGAATGCCCACCGGTTTTTTCGCGATCAGGTGGATGACCGGCAAGTTATCCTGAAAGCAGACAAACGGACAATCAAATTATTTCTACGACTCACGTGCTTATGCTAGCTTATGCTAACACGTTTCGCGAAATTTTTGTGCTACGAAACAATCATATTGCCCAAATAAACCTCACCGTATAGTTGATGGTAGTCCAATCAATCTTCTCCTTCGCGTACTCCTGTTGCTCGAGCTTGAAGATGTGCTTGTTGAAATAGAACTGCAGGTTCTCGTTCGCGTAGTTGATGCATAGCTGCTCGAAACTGTTCTCCGTGAAATTTTCGAAACCGAAGATGTCGAGGATCGAAATGGCGGCCGTCTGCTTTGTGCCCTTATAGACGATATGGTTGACGCGCGCGACTAGCCACGAGAAGAGCGAGCTGTATAGCGCTTTCGCGAAAGCGTCCCTGGCATCGAGGGCTTGGTCAATATTCAAAGCCGTGAAGACTCTCTCATTCCGTGCTTCCTGCGACGATAAACAGACAGATTTATGTCTTGTTAATTTGATGATAGTCGGAACAATAAGAATGTTTACTAACAGATATTTAAAACCGTAAACTTGCTTTTAAACATCCTTATGATGTCTCCGCGACGTGTACATGAATTATGGATTTAATCGTAGATTCAAGAAGATTCAAGGAGTGAAAGATGTGTACCGAAGTGAAAACTTACTGTCGTCTTGGTAGTGAGTGCTCGAATGATGCCATCGGAATTTACTTGAAGAAGGTGCGCCGCCCAGCGTATTTCAGCGTCGGAACCGACTTCCACGCCTTCCTGGCCGTGCCTCATTTGCTTCCGGTGAAAGTAAACGTTCCCCAGATGCAGCACGCTGGCTAGAATCTTGAAAATCGTGTCCTGTTCCTCGGACGAGAAGCCGAGGACCTGCATGGCCGACAAGAGCGCCTTGAAATCTTGCACGTCGCTCTTGCCATCGATCTCGCAGTTTCCACCCTGGAACAAATGCGGAAAGAAACTTTAATATTATTTCATTATTATCTTATTATTAATTTTGCGATATGACTATCCCCTTTTCTAAGCTAAGATGCAGGGATTTTGTTGTACGTTCGCACGCACATGCACATACCTGGTTTAAATAAAAATACTTGTCCGGTGTAAGCAGGCCGTATTTATCCCTGAGTTGCTGGTCGAGTCCAGCTAGAAGTTCATAGAACACGTGGTAGTTCCTCTCCTCCGAAGCCTGAGTTACTATCCTACTCTTTTCTAGAAGATATTGCGTTATTCTACCGCCTATGATCGCGCCGCTGAGAAATAGAAAAAGTGTTGTTTGCGTGATGTGGCCACCAACAGAATCGACGAATTTTGTACTTCATTATTTTTTAAAATATACATATTTTTAAACATTACTCACTCTCTGAAGTGAACCTCCAGGTATTTCCCGAATCGACTGCTATTGTCGTTCCGCGGCGTTTTTGCATTCCCAAAGCTCTCCAGGAGCGGCGTCGCTTCTAAAATTTGCTCGGTGACGAGATTGTTCGGCGCGCGATTGACGGCCGCGAGATATTGCATCACCAACTTCGTAGACTCCGTCTTTCCCGAGCCAGACTCGCCGGAAATGACGACCACCTGATTGGCACTGGAGTTATTGGCTGCAGTCACCTGACTGTACGCGGAAGAGCCCACGGCGAATAAATGCCTGCAAAATCGAGTAAAATGGTAAGCAAGACTTTTTCAGACGTAAGTTGATCAAAATACGACCTAAGTTGCAAACTTATATATAAAAGCGAGATAAATGTAAAGTAATAAATTAAGTATTGTTGATGTCTAAATAAATTGTTTGCCATCGACAAAACATAATCTTGACACAGTCTTTACTTAATTGATGTTTACTTAATCATTAGTCAGTATTTAATTTTGTCTTAGCATTTTATACAAAGTTAAAAAAATAAAGGAATTAAAAAAAATGTATTTTAACCCTCCGCCCCCCCTTGGGTCTTTTTGGGCACAAACGAAATTTTAAACTTATCAAATATCTCCGAAATAAAGAGAGGGCGAAGTCTGACTCCCCTCCTTAAAAATAGTTGTTAGTAGTGAGAACTCACTCGCCAAAGGACGCCAAGATCCGGCAGTGAAAATAACGGTGGTGACGAAGGGTTAAGTATTAAAATAAAGAAAAGATAAATCAATCTTTAACAAAATTTGCCAAAATAAGGCAAAGGAAGCAATAGGGCTGAAGGACAATCAAATAAATTTTATTCATCAATCAACTAGTGAAACGTTTCGCTCATGTAAAACGAGAAGATTATATAAAGATTGGTATATTTTTTCTTGTATTTTAATACTTAATATATACTTTTTTCAAAAATTAAATAAATGAATTAATACTAACGGTGGGAGTGTACCAAGGATTCGTCCCTCGTAAAGCTTCACTTGATCCAATCCGTAGATGTCGAACATTTTGTACGGGTTCACCGCCACGAGGATACTTCCTGTGTACGTCTAAAAATTTCATCGCGAACGATTATTAAAGCCAGTTATTAACACTTAGGAATAAATAAATTAAATCGACGGAAAACACGACGTACGTAAATTAATTCCTTGTCGTAACGGATCTTCAGGTTCCATAATAACGACGCCTCGTTCAGATCCCTGCAATTTATTCAATTTGTTTAACACAAGTGCGTGATAATTACGCGAATAGACACGTGATAATTTCGCGACTTACGTCAACTGAATCATGTCCTCCACACCATTTTGACCCAAGTCCTGCCTGGGCTTCACTCCGCTCAGGTTGGTGAGAGTGAAGATTTGCGGCTTAAACACATAATTGTATGCAATTATTCGTCGTTTTTCCGCACGAAGATCCAGAGTGGCCGCGGCGGGCTTGACAACATGCATTTGTATAATTTTGATGACAGATCACGAGCCCGCGATCGCTCGGCGACACTTTCTTTCCAATTTCTAACGGCGCAACAGGGACACGGGGAAATGCCTAAAGACGTGACTTTCCAGCTGAAACGAATTTTACGATCGTTCCTGCCACATTTTCTCGCCGCGGTTTCTAAGGAGAACGCCCGATAAAAAAGGAAGATTCGTGCGAATTCACATAAGAAGCGAGAGAGCCACTCACGTGAGACTTAACCGGATACTCTAGCCCGTCTGCGTTTGCAGTTGCTTCTCCATTGGCGCCGGCGGTAGCAGTTATTTCCGGCAGATTAACGAAATTTTAACGTTATATTTCAAAGAAATAAAAAAAATTTTGTGTTACTATTTACCATAAGATTTTTGCGACCGTTTTATTTACGGGAAATAATCGCGATAAACTAGAAAAATGTAAATTATAATCTATCCATTTTGAGGCTATTCCTTTCTCTCTTTAAAAAACCTCTAAATTACTTTGATGCTGAATGCTGATACTTTGAGTAATGCAAGCTGATGCAATGGAGAATAATGAAACTTTCTCAAATTTTATAATTCTGATTTTCTAATTAAACAAATGAATGTCTCCATTGTTGCAAAATGTGGAAGCTGTTATTTCTAAAAGGAATACGAAAAGTTGAACTTTATATTAAAACTATTATTTATTACAAGAAATTGTTCAGGATGCAGAAAGACACATTGTTGACTTCGGGATTCATAAGATCGATTTCTAATCTGTCAGAATCAAAATATATTTCTAGTACGATTTCTCGAGATGCTATGTGATCATTCCCATTGGCTGTGGATGGAATCTTAAAAGCATCTAAGAAATTTACACTTAAGATGCCATTAAATACAAGATCGGATTGTGAGTACCGTTAAATGTACGAGTTTACACCCGTTAAGACATCCTATAATACCTATTTTTTAAAGGTGATTGGCGTGCATTACGCCAATGCGAGTCGTCATCTATAATGGGACACCGGTGAAGTGCAGTGCTGCAACTGGTGCACGACAATGCAACGCGGAGAACACAAAGTAGGCGGGCAGGAAAAATTGCGCGTTGTTAAATGACTCGCGTTGGGTGTCGGTTGCATAATGAAGCGGGTCCCTCGTGTTAATGGAAACTACGACGTGTGCGAATAATCGTCCCCGCCGTAACTTCCTTTAAAATTCTACCGTCACCCACGACCGGGGAGATCGATGACCGGTGCGGCGCGGCGGCGGTGCGATTCAAGGCCCGGTAGCTCGAACTTGAAAATTGCGCGTGCGAAGGACGAAAAAGTGAATGAAAAACGTGGAAACCAGATTGACGCGGACGCCGAGCGCACGACGTGAGAGTTGCCCCTCTCGTTCTCGCCTAATGAAACGAATTCAAACGCGCGAGGGTCGCGCTAGAAAGTCAAGAACCGACGAGCGGATCACTCGGCTACCACGCACTTGCTCCGTTCCTGCTCGATCTGACGGGCGGCGTTTGGATTACCTTAATCGCTTGACAGTCGAGCCAAGTTGAAGCGCAAGTTGTCTTCAGCATTTAGCTCCGAGAACTAGTTGGACTATTATATTTCCTAATGTTATTAATCGAACGGTAAAATCAACTTTAAATACATTTAGATACTTCAGTCGAAAAATTAAATACATAAATAAATTAAAGGAAGAAACGCAACATTTAATTAAACACTTTGGTGGAGATAAGTGAGTCAAGTACATTATTTTATATTTTCAAATATTAGTGATCAAACGGTAAAATCAACTTTAAATACATTAAAGTACTTGTTTCAAAAAAACAAATTTAAAATAAGGAATGCAACACTTAAGCAAACATTTTGGCGAAGATACGTGAGTCATACGTGAGATAGGTTGGCTCGAATGACGTCGTTTTTAGAAAATTCAAAGTGATTGGTTGCCTGGAGCTGCGTGGTAGCTGCGTATTGTCGATAGAAAGGTCTGTTTACCAACCGAAAGAGTACGTCTGGCCTATCTTTTCTCAGCTTGAGTTCTTTCACGTCTACCGTTCGTAATTATACACGGTTAAGATATGGACGATTAGTAAACGCTTTCTAGGCAGTCTTATCTTACCTTCCCGGCGATCACCGCTTGGACCGAAAGTACATTGGCGGCTCTGTGGTATTCCAGAACCTCGCCTGGCAGCACATGGCCGACACCGGGGTCGAACCACACCAGTTCACCCTGCAAATAATATCATTGTACTTCAAATTCAAATAAGCGATTTAATAACACAGCTTGCTAATATTTCAATAACTCGTGAAATTAATAAATCTTCAAACGTAATACCAGAAATACCTTTTATACTAATAAATACTCAAATTATGCCTTTTATACAACTTAAATCAACTCCCACTTGCAATAGAAAATTTCTTGGTGTCCAAATTTCAGTATAGAAACTGATTCAGAACGCTGCGCTGCAATTTCACTTAATTGTAATTATCAGCCTCGGAAAATATTCACAGCTTTTAACTTCCTCGCTGATCATTTAAACTAAGATAACTTGTGTTTATATATGCATTTCAAATATTGCCTCGGGAATAAAATAGATTTTTTTTAAATTAAAGCTTCGCTACAACCGAATATTTTCTTGAATCGATCCATAGACAATTCCAAACCGTTTTCATGTTCCACGACGGGGATCCACGCGCCACGGAAGGAGTTTGCATTCGCCTCTTTCCGGTGCAGAAACCGAATATCGACGACGACGTGTCCGGAGAGTTGGAACGGGCGCTGTTCGCGTCGCTGAGCGCTCTGACGTGCGTTGGAACACGCGTCGCCGTCTTCCTCACGTAATTCGACCTCTCTTTGCTCTGCTTCGTCAATACTCCGCCGGTCGAGGGTCTTCTCTGCTCGTCCGCGTTCCGCGCCGGCTGATTCCCCGTCGACGTCTTCCGTCCGATCTTCATGTAGCTCGGTAACGTCGTCGATCTCATTCCCGTTTTCGAGCCTTCCGCTTGTCCTTTCGTCAACAATTCGCTCTGCGACTTCGGCCGACATCTCGCTTGCCTCTCGCTGGTCCACGTGGAATCTCTGTGAGGACACTTGTTACGGGACCAAGAGTCCGTCCTTGAATCCTTTCTCGCGGACCAGGCGGAGTCCGCGCGACAAGCCGTCCTCCTATCCACGAGATCGTTTCTGTCCGTTTTAAAATTACGCAGCCGATCGATATCCGCTCTGGAGACTAATATGGCGTCATGCTTAACCCTGACCACGTCCTGATCTCGATCTTGGTGCATCCGTCGCTCCAAGGAATCCATTTGGTCCACGTTGCTGATTATTCTGCGCCTAGAGATCGTTTTGTCGATCGGCTCTAATAGTCTCTCTTCGTGAGAAGCTTGCCTGGAGGTTTTGCGCGCGACCTTGACATAAATATCGTCACGAGTGACGTCGTCCGCGCACCTGGCGCGATCAAGCGGATCGGGAACGGGATCTCGCAGATGCCTGACGACTTTCGTCGAGGTGTCCGCGCGTTCTCCACTCGCCCTCGTCCTGGAAAATCTCGTCAGAGTGCCCGAGGGTGTCGCGGAGTCGCGCAATGTCGCGGCGCCAGTCGGTAGCGATATTTTCCGTCGCCGAATCCTCCCATAGATCGGCGCTTCCCTTCCGGCAGCCTCCCTCGTCCTCGAGGAGGAGTACTCCTCCAGTCGAGACGTCTTGGAGGCGTGCACGATCTTCGGCAAAGTCGACGGCCGCGGGAGATCACGATCCTCTTTAACCGAGCGACCGGGACTCGGTCTCGGGAAACCCGATGACGTCCTCGCGACATCCTTCAACTGCGAACTCGCCTCTATGCTCGCGTGACGTCGCAGGATATCCTGCCTTGAAACCTTCTTCAAGAGTGAGGAAGTGCCTTGACGTTCGGTGTCTTGACGAGTTCGTCTACCGATCGACGGCAACGTTCTCGGTCTTTTCTCGACCTGATTCTTCTCTGGGGTTGAGTGGAGCGTCTCGTCGTCGTCCTTGACACATCTGCGCCGCAGGATCTCCTTCCTGGAGACCGCCAGGCCGCGCGGCACCGTGTAATAGGTCTCGCGTCGATCACCCGCGTCCGGAGATGGTCGCCAGGTGGAAGCGCGGCATTGTTGCCTGTTAACCGCTTCCGGCGCGCAGTAATCCAGGGCGGAATTCGTATCTGGGTCTGGGCCGCTGCCGCTCGCATTATGCAACGCGCGTCCGCCGCGGCCGGCGGATAACGGTTCCGCGCTCGCGTAGAAAGCTTCCGAGGAGTGCAGCGAAAAGTGACTCCGCGGGGTCGACGATCGACCCACGGACCAGCGTCGCCGTTGCTGCTGCTGCTTCGCGCTCGATCCCACATTGGCCATCGCTGCCGGGGATATCGGCGATCAGCCGCGCACTTCATGTGCGAACACGCCACTTGCCTTCTCGCTGAGAACTTCCCTCTTCGCGTAATCGCGGAAGACCTCCGTTGTCGCCTGTATTGACAGCTCGGTTCCCTCTACCAGATTTTACCAACTTTCTACTAGCTTCGAACATTCATCTCTGCACAGTTGTCTCAAATATAATACGGCATTCGGGAAGGATCTCCGTTTACAAAATCGTGATTTATTTTCCTTGGTTGAGTATTCCATGAAAATAATATTTCATCTTCTGCTCACCTTTGCTTATAATTGCATAATACGCAATTCGCGTGATTACAGACGCACAATCGCGATTTCTACCGAATACAATCTTCGAGGACGTTCGCGTATGAATCTTTAAACAGAAGGGTGCGTTTATCCTCGGCGTTCCGGCTATTCCCACAGTTCACGACGCACGATTACGTGTACAAATATCTTACGTTTCTTTTCTTCTTCCCTCGTTTTTTTTAAAACATCGCGTGTAGTATGATTGCGTTTTTCCTCAGTTATAGCAACGTCGAGTTTTCGATTGCATCTCCTTCTTTCAAGTTCGCTCAATTTAAATAACAACCTCGTCGTGGAGATGATGGACGCGTGTAGCGTTTCAAGTCAATGCCCGCTGCGCAACTCTCTCGGATCCGCACCGAGGTATCGAGACACACGTCTTTCACTCGCGAGATCGTCAGGAGATTCGATGCCTCGCTTAAAATTGACGTGACGTGACAGCCGCGGTCGTTCAGGAAATGTAAAAAACTTCACGCGAACCCGCGAATCACTCTGCCCGGTCAAATCGTGTCAACTGCGTTTTATAATTCACACAATATTTAAAATATTAATTATTAGCTATTATAAATTTACTCGGTCAAACAAAGATTTATTAATACAAATACAGGGTGTGCCTTAGTCACATTGATATTATTTATTATATTTAATATTTACTATTTCTCTCTTTTCTCTTTTGTGAAATTTAATCACTCGTGCGTAACACGATTTTAACACCGTTTATCACACGAAAAAAAAGCGAAAAACCGGTCAAGCAGGTCGCGATCGCCCGAACGAGTCTTTATAGTTATCAGTTATCTAGCTACGTCGAGAAAACTGCTTCGTGCGGCTACAGGGTCGCATTTGCGACCAGTGAAACAATGTCGCATAAAGTTTTCCCGTTTCCAATTGAAACCTGCGGGGTCGAATATCTTCAGGATGAACTATGAACTATCGCCGGTCCGTCGAGACTTCACATTCTTCCACGCTTAGCCTCCATCCGACGCGCATTTCCGTGTACCGTTTTCCGCCTTCCGTCCGCCGCGGGCTTTTCTCCGCATTTCGGGTTTATTTACAGCAACCGCGCCGATCGGTCTTATCGAGGAGTCCCGTCACGATCGGCGATCGCGGCCTAAGTCGTTCGACGAGGCCCGCGCTGTCGCGCGCATGTTAAATTCGGCTTAAAGAAGTTAGGAGGCCACGCAGGCGTCTATCGGGCTCATTGGGTCAGTCGGCAAAAGTCCGCTGCTGCATGGCACACGCGGAATTCGTTAACGGTGCCCGGCGGCGGTGTCATCCTCTTCGGTCGTCCCCCCCGGGCCGTAATCCGCCGACTCAACAAAATCGACCCTTTCGCGGAAGGAATGGTTCCTCGGGAGGGAAAGGCTCCCTTTCCCTCGCGAGGCCGAGGATGATCGCGCGCGATGCGGACGCTAGGATGTTCGACGCGGCACTGGAAGTTGCGGGGCCTTCCTTCCCTCTCCGCAACAATTGCCTCGGATACACGCAGTGGCGTATATGCAATTTTAATTGAGACACGCTAATTAGGCCGTGCCCGAAAGCGGCCCATATTTCCCCGATCGGACGCGCCGCCGGATCGCATATCGCGCTTTCCCCCGTTCTCCTGGAATCCCGCTCGCCGTTTTGTCCGCTACCTATCGGTAGCGCCCAATCTCGGACGGGAGTCTTCTGTATATATGCGTTTAAGACCCGTCACGGCGGGATTTAGCGCGATGAAATCATAAGCTACCGGCGCCAGTGGATCGAAGCGCTTTGGGGTGGAACCAAGCGTGCCTCTCTTCTTATATAAATTACGCGCTAAATACGCGCGCGCGCAACCGTACACATGCAACGTATACGCGCGTATTACGTACTGATGGCTTATACGGGAGGCGTAGGAACGCGCGAAGGGAAGCTACTCAGCTACTCTGCCTAGCGGCCGTGGCGAGTTGCAGAAGAGCGATAGAAATTGTCGATTGCGGAGCGCGGCGAGCGCAACCGCAAGATGGGACACGATTACCTCTTCTTCTTCTTCTTGTAGCAATGTCGGATTGATTTATCGACATTAAACAGATTTCCCGGCGTTACGTAACGTTTCTGAATTGTTTCGTTTCTTAAAATTGAAGAAAAAAAAGAGAGGAAACGGACTTGCGACATAATCGTTTCGTTTGAAAATTGCTCTCTTGCTAGCGGATAGAAGGCAAAGTATATCCGGGCTATAAAAAAAGCACGGCACAGCTCATTAAATCTCCGGCGGCTTCATGTCTTCATTTTCGATAATGCCGGTTGTTTTAATATCCATTTCAATTTCGTTAATGCCCTTCTACTACACTCGCTCCTCGACGTGCGGAATGCTTCCTTAATTATTCCGCCGCTCATTATCCGCGATTGGATGCGCGAGGAGCGAAGTAAAAGTGAGAAGCCGCCATTGCGCCAGCCCGCTCGCGATGCATTCCAAACGCATCCATCGCAAAAAAAATAACGTTAGCCTCTACATTGCTATAGTCATTCGTAGGTTATGATGCTAAATTTAGAAGCTAACGCGGATTAAGTCTTGTACACAGTTACATTAAAACTCACTCGAGAAAGCGCATTTCCAAAGCTTTACTGATGTCTCAAGATTGCTTAATATACATTATGTTTAAAAGTGATTTTTTTAATTTTGCAAGACTTGTTTAATTTCTTTTACTTGAAATGTTTTAGAAAAGTGCACACACTCAAACGGTCGATACACGTTTTTCATTCTTCTCACTTCTTTTTAGAGTTTCCCCGCAGCAACCTTAAAAAGTTCATTTATCAGGCTTCAGTGTTTTTCCAATTCTGCAAAGTCGAAGACGATCGGCGCGCGGATCGATCGTTGACTAAGCGTCGAAAGACCGTCGGACGAGGCGTTGGAAAGTGGCTGCTGCGAGCGCGGCGATGCAATTGCGTGTGCGCAGATCATTGACTCCGACCACGCAGCGAGATCCCACCGCGGCGGTCGTGACCACGTAAACATTGTGCAATGCCATGACAATCCAAAAGTGACCGTCTTACGATCTGCGAGTCTACGAATCTACGAGTGGGAATCGCAACACCTTAACACGAACGATTGACAAGCTCCGGGAACGACCGTTCTTCTTTCACAACGTCGCGTTTCCTTCGATTTCGCCGATATTCGGTTCGATTATATAGACTTTCTTCGATAAAATAATCGTGTAACTTTAGAAACGCTCGGTACTTAATTCACGCAATATACCCCGCAAGCGTGTTTATTATAGCCACGTAAAAACCACTCACGACGAGTCCGGCCTTTCGAGATACATCAGCTAATAAATATCAACTCACCTTTTGCCAGTCGGCATACATCTTGGAACGGCGTTAAATCGACCTCCGTGTGAAAGTATCCGGCATTTTGTGTCAATCGGTCTGTCCTGAAACGAAACGATTCGGACTCATTATTTTGATTATTATTATCATTTGATTCTTAGCTTATAGATTGTCAGCTGACTTGGACGCGATACCGTTCGAGCTGTCCATCAGTTTTCAATGTCAGATATCTTACGCGCGTGCCGAGAAATATTACGCCAATCGTGTTTGTAACGGAAACATCGCCCAGTGTTGCTGTCCAGTTATCCTTTCCAATCATCCCGCAACTTCCGACACAGTTCGAGGAATGTTAATGTTCAAGCTCTGAGTTCTTTATTTGTAACGATGCATATATATATATATATATATATATATATATATATATATATATATCGTATATTTATTTAATTGCTCAGAGTAGACAATTCTAATTGTAAAGTTAAAGTCGTACTTCTAGTTGTAAAAAGAAAGATTTTTTTGTCGTGAGATGTACAAAGAATTTTTATTAAAATTCAGATAATCTTCATAAATGTTACAACTCCGGCCTATATATATGTCGAAGAAAACATTAGTTCGGCGCGTGAGCGCGGCTTGATATCGATCATAATTGCACGTTCGGAAATATGGGAAGTGTCGCAACGAGTATTCAGCTCCGCAAGATCGAGATACACACGACCACGCGCGCGTGTCTATATGTCTACGACGTGTACAAGATGCATACTTAGAAATATCATTTATACCTTCCACTGTACATGACATCACTCAGCTGCTGCAAGTTGCGCAAAAATAAGCTTGTTTTTTTACACACGTTAAAAATGTTTCAATGATTATAGAGCGGAAACCCCCCCCTCCCCTCCCTATAGATACAAAGAGATCATGAAACCAAGTTACTTTCTCTCTCAATTCCATTAATTATATTGTCTCTTAGAAATTGACATTCTGCATATTCTTAACTTCGTCAGTTATTGTACTTTTGCCACTCCTTTCTAACAATCTATCATTTCTCATTCTCGTTATTGTAACTTCTTTAATTTTCAGATGATTATATAAAATAAATTTTCAGGCTGTAAAATTATTATTTTCAAAGTCATAAGTTTTCTCATTATTTAATTTCTTTATTTTTTAAATAGTTATATTTAAACATAAATGTTTAGGTTGTAAAATGTTATTCTCAAGGTTTGAGACGGCAGGCTCGTAAACCTACCGTGCAAGCCACTCGGCCCTGCGCTTCGCAGGTCGCGCCGGTCGCGGTCTATGAGCGAGCACACACTCGCGCGCGTCAAGCGCGACGCGGATAAATCTCCGCGGCTAAGGCTACTTCCAGTAAAAGTAGCAAACGGCCGGCGTCCTTCTCCGGCGTGCTCACCGCGGAATGCATTTCGCAATTTTATGCTAATTTGGTTAGTCACCCTCGATCAGCGGCGAGCTCGCGAGCGCGGCTGCGAGAGGGACGCGTGGGTTAGATTCGACGGAGCGAGATACGGCGCGGCGAAGACAATGGCGACGACGACGGCGATTTGGCCTTTCGACACCGCTGACTGTTCATTGTCTGCCACGCCGTGATGTCTTCTATCGTCGGCTCTTTCGGCGACCCCGGCTCACCGGGAAACGGCAAAACTGCTAACCGGTTTCGCGAAACGATATTCGTGCCGCGCGCGCGTCATCCTCTTCTTCTGTCAACATGAGTGTATTTAGTGCCGAGATCAAGTTTCTCGCATGTGCAAGAGTCTCTAAACGTTTGTAACGGGAATTGGAGAGAGATTACTTAGGAAAATTTGAATTAGGCGTTACTTTAAAATTGGAGAAAATGTTGAACTTCGTAAAATTTTAAAAATTGTTACTTCCGTTTCTAGAACGAAAGTTGAAATATAATGTGTATGTGAAATCAAAACAATTCTATTACGTATCAAATATATTAGAAATGCCCAGTTTCAATGTGATAAAAAAGTTTGAACAGATATATCTACTTTTAATTTTTATTTTAGTTATATATAATCTTCATTACTTAAGAGATATAATTGTGGTTATAACACATTAATTACTTTTAATAAAATACTGGAGTGAAAATTAATACGTACAAAGCTGATTTCTAAAGTTGCTCATATACTGTGTATAATTATGTACAGTATATTAATTAAAAGGTACATGCCATGCAAATCAAACTTTTGAAATATTCATGTACATATACATATTTACATAATTATACATAATTTTTTTCGATCAATTTCAAGCTTTACTTAAATCCCCTCGCGAAGCTCTCTTAAGGTTAACGCATGCATGCATATTGCTTCACTATGTGCGAGTTAAGGGATAAAACCTCGAGAGATAATAAATCTCCCCCTTCTCTCTTTCTCTCTCTCCCTATTTCTCTGCAGCGACAATCTTACAGCGAGCGTTAATGGCGGCGAGAGAATAGGAACTTTGCGATGCAAGTTATCCAGGTCAGACAGAGAAAGCAGCAGCCCGGCCGCGCGGTGATACAAGGATCTTATGTAATTCATAATCGCGCCTCTCTCGCGGCTCGCGGCTATCGAGGCAAGAGTCAGCCGGGAGATTAATCGTGCGTGATCCTGTCGCTCGTGCATACAACCGGCTTGTTTCAAAGTCACCGTCGCGTCCAGCCGAAACCGCTCGACCGGACCGAGACCCGCCGCGTTTCAAATGGGGCACGGTCTCTCGAACGATATTCAACCCGCGACCGACCCTAGCCGATAAGAAAGCAGCTTTTAGGAAGCACTTTCTCTCTTCCAGTTTTTTTTATTACTCGCTCCGTATCATTCACAATCGGACTTTCGTGCTACGCCATGGCGAACCGTTTCGCGTGCGATTGCACTGCGTTTCCGCGGCGTCAATCATTTCCGCGCCTGTCCATAAAGAGACCATTACGAGTCTTTAGAATTAAATGAGATTTGTAGCGTCGGGATTTCTAAATTTTTAATATCATCTTTTCTAGTGTCATCTCTCAATATTATTATTATTATTAGCCGATAAGGAATAAATCTTGGGAAAATTGCAAATAATATTCGAGCATGTACAGGATTTTTAAAAAAGTATGCAGGACTTATGTGAGATAGTATTCACTCAAGGAGAATAAAAAACTCCTAACAAACATGAATCCAAAACTCAAATTCTCTTGAATTTTTATGTCAAAAGTCCCATTCGATTTTAAAAGTCTTGCTGATCTATTTTTAACACCCTGTATATCCAAATTGCCAAATCTGTCGAAAACAGATTTTGCAAAGTATCCGCAAATTTTGTCTGCAGAATGCCGATGAAAATATAACAGAATTTGCAAATAGAATATGAGATCGGATTGACTGATGCAGAAACCGAGCAATTTGACTTTTGCAATTTTGTGAATGATGCGTTTAAACGTTTACGAAATGGCAGACTCCATTCGGCTTCTGTTGACAATCTTCTGTCAGAGTGTGTCGACAGGCTCCGCCAGCAGAACATGAGTTTAATGCAGACGCGGTTAATGCCAGTCTACCGCAACATTCCGCTCGCATTTGCTGGCATGCTGCTAACATTTCACCGCGTACGTAGCACTTTAATTAATCTATTAAAATTCCAATTTAGTATTCGCCACTATACATTTAATACCACTACTTAATTTCAATTCAACATGTTATGTCATGTCTTAAAACTAAGAGCTTCCTTCCTTTTACTGTTTTAGATTTAAAAAAATAAATTTTGTAAATCAACTTGCGCAAATACAGCATAAAAGACTTTTTAATCTTCCAGCGTTACTAATGATATTACACGTAATATTACTCATGTAGAAATTACTATCTAAAGCAAAAATATATTATCAAGTCATCCACATACAGGTCTTAATGTAACTGCATTAATTTCGTGGTCGTACGCTCGTTTCCGCTTTCACATATTTCTGTATTAGAGTAGAATGGGGGCCAGAGGCTGAGAAGTGTTCGTATTCTTTTCAATTTTCCGCGACATGGGTAGGCGCCATTAATGGGAGAACGTCGTCTTCTCCACGGTAGCCAGACGGATGCATTGTCCTTGAATACTTTCGCCTAATCGTGCGTCGACCGGAATGTCGCGCACCGCGGCACGCCATTTTAAAGCCAGCCGCATGAACTTTTGTTCCGACATTTGCGAAGCGAGACGGAGATCCGTCGCGGTACTCGAGTTAACTCGAGTACCCTCAATTAGACCCCGAGTCCCATCCCGCAATCGTTCTCCGTGGATCTGCGAGATCGATTTATATTTGTTCTGGTATTAACTTAACTGTTTCTCGTATTCTATTTATTCTTGTTACACTGTTCACATGATTACACGGTCAACAACGGACACGAGTAACGAGCCGCGCACGTATACACGCACACGCAAGGCTAAGCCAGGAGCTCGAGCTAAATTTTCTTGATTCTCAACTGGCCTGGTGAGCTCCCGATGCATAAAAGCCGACTGCTAACCTTCGCTCGTTCCTTCAGAACAGGTATACAGATCGGGAACTGAAGCTGTTTTACGTGCACACGCACACCGCATTATGTTTAGTCAGATCAGATGTACCTGAATTCCACCTTTTTTAAAATCCCAAAAACAAGCAATTCGACAGGTGCCTAGTGACAGATATTTAAAAGACAACTCCTGCATTGATTCTCTTTTTATTGTTAGTAGATAAACCTTTTGCTTTCTTTACAATTAACGAAATGGAGATCGAAAATGTAATCCAGAAGTTTATTCGTGAAGATTAAAATTAGAAAGTAGAAGATTTTCACAGAGGTACAATTAATATTTATATCATTTTTTATCAACAAACAACATATCGTTGTTTCAAATTTAATTTATATTGCAAAGAAAAAAAAAACAATGCCAGAGATTTTATATTTCTAAATTTCCTATACATATTTTATAATTTATAGTATTTTATATTACAGTCTTTTTTCTTCGAATATGTATTCATAAATTTTACTTTCCGCCACTTCTAACATTGAAAATTACTTTAGATGATTCTCCATTATATATATGTATATTCTTCTTTATTTATCTTATTATTGATTATACAGAATATGTTTTAATAATATAATATAATAAAATATACAAGATCTTCGTAAATATTTATTATATCAAATATTTTATATCAGGTACCTTTTTATTATTTATTTTATCAAATATTGTATTAGGCTGCTTTTACAATAAGTGCTTCAATGTGTGAATTATACCGAAATATTGTCGTTGCTTCAACATGACGTCAGGGCAAAATTTTACGAAACACAATTATAGAAGCTGATTTCAAAATGAGTTAATCTCGTGTCATCACAGCGATATATCGATTACGAACGCGATGATGCGGGACACGTATCCGCGAGACGATATCGCCGCGACGGGCATCGATGTCTCCGGCGCGGCGCGGCGTCTTCGACACCGCGCTTATGCGAGAGAGATCGATCGCGACGACGCCGATCGCGGTGCTACTTTCTCAGTATCGAGAACTCACCTCTGGACGTGTGTCGCCGTGCTCTTTGACAGGATCGTAGCACGAGCCAGGTGGAACGATCGAACCGGCAGAAGAGACGAATTTTCAGTCGAGTGACGTGACTGAAATTCCACGGGGATTCACGCGGCTCCGGAAAGGAATGCGGGAGCAGCGATTCAGCGAGGACGTTGGAACGCGCACGTTATTTCGCGGGGTACGCGGCTTCGAAACTGCGCGCGAACCGCGGTCCCGCCCCGTCGTCGTCCGTCGTCGTCGCGATCTTTCAATTCTTTTTTATTTCTATCCGAGCGCGTCGCGGACGATCGAGCAACGACTGGCTTCCACGACGCGATTCCGGATCGTGGTATGCGGCCGCTCGACCTCGCCTAAGAGGAAGGTAGCTCGCGCCGCCACCACGAGGAGCCACCATACGCCGTGTTTGTACCGTTACGCACGCGGTATCAGGGTACAGGTGGATCCAGAGACCTGGAGGAAACCTGTGAAGTATAGTGTGAAGCGACCGGTTTACCTGGTACCGCCAACTCGAGGTTTGAAACGTCCTGTAAATTGCCGACGGAACAGCAGCGTACCTACACTTTCGGAATCCTGGCGCTTCAATTCCATTCGAGATTAACTATAAAAATTATAAATATAACCAGCGAAGAGAGTGTGCACGTGCACCTTTTGATTTTCTTCGTTGTACTTTTATTTTCTTTTTACATATCGCGGTTTGTCTCACGTTTTATACAAATATGATCAACGATCTAGGCCCGCGTGCGATGCGTGCGCGTGAAACGTGTCTGTGTGTAATGCATGTTAATTTATTCGCGGACAAACGTGTTCGATGAGGAAGTGGCTGCGAGGAGATCTCACGTTTCGTTGGTCCAATGAAGATTCCTCGAAGTACGCCGCTTTTGGCTTCGCGCACGTCACATTGCGTGCGCCACGTTGCAGGTGCGTTTTTTTCGCCCCATCTGCGTGTGCGTTTTTCAAATCAAAACGAACGTATAATAGGTATATACGAATAGGATTCGCGCTTGGCGCGCGCGCGCGCGGTCACCAGAATCCCTCAAAGAGGTCATCTAATCCGGGGGCCGTTGTCCCCGAAGCCTGATCGAACGAGACGGAGAATCCTTTCTATAAAAAAATCTCCGTAACTTCGGCGTCACTTTCGTGGTAAGCGAGTCTTGACCACTCGTCAACGAAACTGATGGAATTCCTGGCAGTTAGAGCGAAGGGAGGGACCCGATAATAATCTCTCGAGAAATGCTAGGTGATTTAGAAGCTTTGGCCTGGGCAATATGTCGTGCAATATATCGCACGCGTACCGATGTCAGATAATTAAGTTTTATTGTTGAAACCGTGAAAGATTTTTGGATTATGTACTAAAGACAAAAGAATAAAAATTTGGAAGACATTATCTCTTAAGTAAGTAGCGACCAATATATGTATAATTCAGAATAAATAGATATTGAAATTGTCGATTATCGGACAGGATTTTATGCCTAATAATAATTTTTGGGAGTTTTATATGTTTTAATATTGAAATTCCAGCTTTAGCATAAGACAATATTTCATGACTGAATATAGTAATCGACATAATCAAAGCGTAAAGCTTTATTATTTGCTTTCAATTATTCAAACTTAGAGAAATGCAATGTTACAGAATAAAATTGTTTAAAATTATTAAAACCCTGTCTGTTAATTAATATATTTGTTATTGTTAAGAGACATTAATATATAATTAATAATTAATAAAATAAGGAATATTCTATATATAGATTTCTCCAGATATCTTTGCGAATTATTCTTAATAGCGTGTTTTCTATCAGTAGGAGAAAATAAGTAAAAATAAATTATCAAAAGCGGCGCTTTGCCTCCTGAAATCCCGCTATGTTAACGGTCTAAAACGGAATTGTTTGTTTTGTTTACTTTTGCAGTTTTCGTGTGTTCCACTTTATTTTATCATCGCGCGCGAGGAACCTGCTTAAGGCTTATCCTCCGGATTTAGCTAACTTCTATCTAGCGAATGTAACGACGCCGTTATTTTTGCAGCAGGCATTCCTGATCATGTGACGAGCGAATTAAACCAAGTCCACCTCCGTGGACGTGATGGGAATGGGAGAAATGGGTAATGGGACATACGTTCCACTAATTTTATCACCACAGTAACAAAATGCGACATTATTTACACATTTATTCAGAGCGTCACGTTTTAATTACCGTTAAATTCTTCAGTCTATAAAGGAATCTCTGACAACAAACTCAAATTATAACGATGATTTAAAGAGAGAATACGTTAATCCCAAACATTGTTTTAATTGCTAAACTTAAATTAGAAATTTTGTAAATTTTAAGTCAGGACAGAAGAAGGTAATTATGATAATTATTTTTTACAAGGACGAAGTCAAACGTAAGCGATGTTGAACCTATTTCCTTTTCATTTCTATTTAATTCCTTCATTATCTCGAATGTTAACAAATAAATATTCGAGTAGTAATTAAGTTCCTTTTTTAATCGAGTAGTAATTAAGTTCCTTTTTTAATTCCTATTTAATTTTTTCATTATCTCGAATGTTAACAAATAAATATTCGAGTAGTAATTAAGTTCCGATTGCCAATTAGCTAGCCCGAAATCTAATTGGCTACCACCGATCGATCTCTCAGACTCCTGTTCGCCGCTCAGCAATGCGACCGCATGCACCGTAATATCGCAGGTATGCGAGCAATGCACCATAGGTTTTCCATTCACCGTTCCTTCGATTTCACGAGCGAAGGATACGCGGTAGCCTTCGGCAATCGAAGGAATTCCTTAATGACGGTGATCAGCGATGCGTTTCCATCTTTAACCAGAAAAAAAAACAGCTTAACCCGCTTTTTTTACTAGTTTACGACGGTTTAAAACATTCGCCGCATCGAACGACGTTGAAGCAGGGAAATATAACGGATACGAAATTTCTAACGAAAGTACATTGTAGAAGGTAATGGATAACGCGAGTTGCATATGGATTGCCTCTCACGAAGGGTCAACGAGGATCAAGATAGCTACAGCCTTCAGTCCCAACCAAAAATGTTGATATTAATCTCTTTTTGCAACATGAAATAACCGTGTTAAGTAAAGAAAAATATAATGAAAGTGAAATATAAGACAATTGCAATGTTATAAAGAGCATTTTATCGCTAATGCATAAAGAAGTCTGCGGATGGAACTTTCCGACAGCAGATAAAGCAGAGTCATACTGTCAGTAGACAAAACAAATTTCGTACAACTCACTTACTAGCAGAAGCTATGTAAGTTGCAGCTTTATTAAATGTTGAAAACATCACGTAACCATGTAACGTTCGAAGATAAGTTATTTATTGCGATCGAAAGTCAATGAAATGTAATAGAGTGCACTTCAATGTAATAAATCGTGTTCCTTTTTGAATATCATTGAAAGCTCCATGGACATCTTCTCTTTTCTATTGTTAAACATGTGTATTACTTAAAAATAAAATTAATTATGCATTTATATTATTTCAAGTCTTCGTAGATTTTTAACAAAACGCAAAGTACATCTTTTTCGTTTTAGAAATTTTATATTATAATTTTATATATCGACGTTCTGTTTTCTATTAGATCTTTATTTTTTATTTCTCTTAAATTTTATGAATCGTTACGTAATTTTTTTATGTATTGTAAAAAATATCTTGCTTTCTCGAAAATTACTGTATAATAATTGATAACTTCTTCTTTTGCCATCCATTTTTTAATAAATCGCATGAAAACGTCACGGAACTCTTGACAGAGCTCATCAGTTGCGATAAAGGGTGAGATATGATTTTTTTTATCGGTGGCTTTTCAAAGCGTTGCGTAAACGGTCGCGACGGACGAGCATATGTCACTCGAGTGTGCGATAAAATCAACACCGAATTACACTCAGCCGCTAAATGATACGAGTAAAGTCGGCAAACAAAAACATTCGCGTTTAAAGATGTCAAGCCGCCGTGCTATTAACTTGTGCGTAACAACACGCTTGCACACACAGGACGAGCTAAAAATGAAAGCCGAGAGAAACGAGAAGGAGTGAATACGTAATAAAATCTTGCTTTTCAGTTATTTAAGCTTGGTTTTGTCCGTTTTGTCTCAGCAAGAATTCAAGCCTTTGTTTCTTGTCAGGGCAATACTAAAAAATTGAAAACTTTCGATGAAAAGCGAGCCTTTTCTGTTTTTCACTGAAGAACAATCAACTTACTCGAATTTACGATAAGATTTTTCAATTCAAATTCTTCCAATTTTTTATTTGATTTCTATAGATTTTTAAATTCGAATTCTTCCGAAGTCTTCAGTGAAACTTACAGCGATTATTTGTGTTACTTTAACGTTGCATGTAAGGAAGGAGAGACGCATGTAAGGATAAAAGTTGTAAGGTTAAACAAAGAGACGGGTGTTAAGTAGGTATGTGCTTAGGATATCGAGCAAGGATTTTTCTGCCGGGTTCCTTCGTAATTCTAAGGACGACGCGACGCTCTCTTTCGATTGATATGGATGAAGCGGCTCGACTTTTGATATACGCTCGATTTCAAATGGAAAATCATGCCTGGATTGGATTCGCACGTGAGCTGAAATAAAGTTACATTGTCGGGCCGTACAACCACCGCCATGCCACTTCGCCTTCTGTCGCGCAATATGCGCGTCGGAATATGTGCCGCGACCATTCCAGCGATTCACGCGAAATACCGTGCGCGTGACTCTTATTGTTAGGCATAACTTTCTTTATTAAGTATAACTTCACCGACTTGCACTACCGAACGTTTCTCGATTGCAGAATTATTTACTATTGATTGACTGAAATACACACAAATACATACACGCACCAACTCTTGTTTCGTTGAGACTATCCCAGGTAGAACAGAAAGTTACATAGAAATTAAAATGATGGAAAATTGACTTAAAAATCGTCATTTTATCGTCGATAATAATTGGCAATCATTTCGATATCATTTTGCCTTTAGCGTGATACTCCCTGTCCTACTTGGGATGTTACGTACAAAAGTAACGAAATCAAATTACGCAAGACATCTGCAAGTTTTCTGAAATCTTCGCGCACACCGCTTCGGTGGGGGTAAACCAATTTACTCATCCGCCTCTTTTATCTACTTTTCGCTGGCGCTCTCACGCGGCCGCTCTCACTTTATCTCAATTCTCCGTCCCGCGACTCGCGTAGGATTCCTTCGGAATGAATATGCACGGCAAGTTTGGACGAGGAGAGAGGGGAGAGGGGAGGGAGGGAGAGGAGAAAAAAGAAGAGCGAAAAGATTCCGACAGAAAGAGAAAAGAGGGTCGGA